GATAGTATACACCGGAATGGGACGGTGGTATACTAGGGACGGTTTGGTTTCAAAATACCAAAACCTACCTATTCTGGATTAATGAATGGATTAACTAAAAGTTAAATCCTATGGATTTGTAGTATCATGGCAACAACTAGTTGAGCGGCACTACTATGGATTTTGAATGGATTTTAAATATATTACTATTATGGTACCTCGATATGAGCTTAAGTCTCAGGATCGATGGTTAGGGAGTATATATGTATTGGGATGCATAGCTGGATACGATGGTTAGAGGTGTACCCTGTTTAGGTTTAGGTACATATGCCCACTTCGTGTGCGTTTTAGCATGTTACCTCTATTTAGGTTGAGACCGGCCTGTAGTTCAGTGAGAGTCCTTTAGTGTGACTATATATATATTTACGGACTATTAGTTATTGTTGAATTGTTTAGGATGTACATGCGTATCGGGCCTCTGTTTGGATTGTAGTAGTATAGAACTTGCGCGTGGGCCTGACCCACTTCTATTTTTCAGGTACATGACAGTTCCAGGCTTAGACGTGTTCGTGCTGAGCAGAGGTCTCTATATTCACTCTTCCGACAATGTAGGACTCACTCCATAGTTTTATTTCTGGATGTTTATTACAGTTGTTTTTATCTTCCGTTTGGATGTTTAATAGGGGTCCACTAGAGATGGATTCCCGAGTTGTAAACTGATGGAGTTTTGGAGTTTGGGTTTGATGGATTTTAATAATTATAATATTTTGTGGATTCTATTTCTAGTTCTTTTCAGCTTTAATTTCATTTCTTAATTCATTTGGTATTCCGTGTTCATTATAAAATATTAATTGTTTGATATTCCCTCGGTCTCGGGCCTGGGCCTGATCAACCCGTGTCTCGAATCCGAGGGGTATCTCAGTAGTAGAGTAGAACTTGTTTGTGAGCCTGACCCACCATTATTTTTCAGGTGTTTGTCAGGAGTAGAGGTTGTTCGTGCTGAGCAGGGATCAGTCTACTTCATTCTTCCGATGCTACATAGGAGTTCATTTATGATTCAGTTTCCTGATTTAGACAGTTATTGCTGTCATTTGTTTAGTTTGGATTTTCTAGGGGTCCACACAGTATGGATTCCCGAGTTGTATTTTGGAGGATCAGTTGTATCAGAAGAGTTTATTAATTAATGGAAATATATTCTGAGGTTTATTATTAGATTATCATTTTAGTTTCTTGTCAGCATTTTATTTATTCTTCTTTATTCTTTTGTACTCTGTGTTCATTCATTATTGATTTGTTTTTGATATCCTCGGGTATTCGGGCGTGGGCCTGGCCAATAGAGTGAATCACACAAGCTGCAGGTATGGGGTCAACTTCCTTTTTTGACAGGAGTGATGTTGAAGTTGAATGAATTTCTTGTAGAGTTGTTCGCTTCCTTAGCGCATTTCCATCACAGAAAGGGAGTGGAATCAGATTGTGCCTAATGAATTTCCATTTTTGAACCTGATGAGGGCTGGTGAGAACTCGCTCTCACGATCTCTGTTCTTGGGAAGAAAGGGAGTGGATGTAGGGAAACGTGCTAATTTTAAAAACTTTTCAAGGGATTTTGATTCATAAATCTTGACTCATCATATAGAGACAAGTTTTATGCAAAAATAAAATATGATGTATCATTCAATTAACAGATTGAATACTTATATCAAAGGTCTGAGTAAACCTTTAAAACTTTCCTCTAAAGTGAATGTTCTCACTTATTGTAGATCCCTTAGCAAGATGCTTTCTCCTTGGATCTCCATCTTCTTGGTAATTGTTTTGCCTTTAGGAATCACTCATATGCCTACATGAATGATCTTGGAAAACTAGGCTTGTGGGAGCCTCCATTAGATGAGAACATAAACCCTAATTTTCTAGAGAGAGAAAATATATTCCTTTTTCCTTCTACTAAAATCACCCCTAAAATATACATAGACCATGTATATTTATAGGCAACATAAAGGTAAAGAAAAGGAAACAACTAATCCTTCTCAATCTCTAATTCACATGTCTCAAATCTAATATGATTCCAATATCAAGTTGGGCTATGAGTGAGAATCCTTTGGGCTTATTATTTTATTGGTTACCATGAATTAATAATTGGCCTAGTCCATGGACCCAATTCAATCAATTCATAAATTAATTTCTACTCCACTAAAAGAAATTAATTGAACTCCAATTAAATAATAAATAACCTCTAAGTCAATATTGCACTTTGACCCCTCTATGCATAATTAGTTATCGGATAAATAAAGTCATCAATCCGACTACTTAATTAATATATTTATTTTGGTACCATTGATTATTTCTGGCTCGGTCACAATAAAACATTTGTTTGACAAAAATAATAATTTAAATAAATAAATATATAATAAATCATTTTGTCTAAAAACACACGAAGGCCTTTGAATTTACTTTGTGATCAACCATAATCAATATAAAATAAATACAAGTAGCAATGATGCAAATATTGAAAATATAACCCTCTAACTATTAATTACATAACTACTCAAAGTGTCGATCTAAGGATCCCGAAGAATCCGCTGAACAAATCAAAGTAATTATTAATTAATAAAAGAGTCTATACTTTTCTCATGCTTAAGAGTCAAATGCCATGACGGTGATAGGGAGTAATTGCATACGACGGCTCTCGCAATATATCTCAACCTAACGCGGATCCAGTTCAAGTCTTAATTAATTATGATTCCATCCATAATTACCGACTATGAACAATTTATGATTACTATTTATATTCATGTATTGATCGTCATCACATACATATATAAATATCTCTTGTAATCAAGAGGACACTATCAATTCTATAATGAATCGAAACATAGTACATTGAATTTACCAATTGTAAAAAACATAAATATTTCAAAAACGTTAGGATTATATGTTACTTTAATCCAAATAGGAATTTACTATACCAGGGCATATAAATCCCAACAGTGGAATCAGATTGTGTAATGAATTTCCATTTGAATCTTTCTATTTCTGGTATTTTTAGACCTGGAAGGTCTAATCTTTAGGGATCAAAATCAAAAGCTTACTTTCCATATCTTTTCTTTTTCAACGATTTTTGACTTTTGAAAGCAGAGTAGAAGATCGTCACCGCCGTTTATGTCTTCTCTCACCTCTCATCGGATGCGACTTGAACTCCATTGGCGGCGACGGCATTTGAGACCACCAGGGTCTCCGATTCCGCAGAGAATTCCGTTGATTTTTACTTCTTTGAGGAGGAATTTCATATTGACTTTGCTCTTTCAAAACGATGAAGGGTTTCAATTTTCGACAGTGTTTGGTAGTGTTTGTAGAGAGGGAGAAAGAGAGAGAGGAGAGAGAAGCGATGATGGTGGTGGTTGTCGGCAATGGTAGTGGTGACGGTGTTTGTCGACGGCGAGGAGGTGGCAGTGGCAATGACCATGGTGGAGAGGAGGTGGTACAGATGATTAGTGAGGAGATATATATATATATATTTTATATCAATGCTACAGTAGAGGAAGTGATTTATACAAACAATGTAGAAAATACAGAAAGTGAGGATCTCTCTTCACAAAATCAGGAATTACTTTCTTTAAACCAAAAAGTGTAAGTATTTTATTAAACATAATTTTTATTTTTGATTCTCAATTTTAGGAATTGACAGCAGAAATCAGGAATCATTTCTGTTAGTAAACAGACCCTTAACATGTCTTGGATAATTTATCTCTAAACCAAAACCCATCAATCTTTTTCGGTATCTCACGAAACTAAAACCCATCAATCTTTTTCTTCTTCCCTATGATTTTAACAATTTTTAAGTTTTTCACCCACAACTTCTTCTACCCTTACACATGATACAATCACCTATTTATAGGCATCCTAACAATTACAACTCTTCATCGAAGTATCTTAGATATCTACAAACTTTATAAAATTCTCTAATCTTCCCTCCACTCTAAAAATCTCTATAAGCTCTCTAATATTTTAAAAAGCTCTCTAATATTTTAAAATTTTCAAACTATTTCTACTCCATAATTCCATACAAATATGAAAGACTTTAGAAATCAACTCTACTCATGCCATGCAGACTATGCCATACAGACAATGAAAAATCCTCTTCAACGACAGCGTGTTGCTCGGGTGGCACAACACCATGTAAAATTGCAAGGCGTGACACTTGTCTTAATAAATTTTCAATTAATGATAAAAATATAATTATTGAACAATACATGGGAGGTAGTTCTTTTACTTTTACCTCTTTTATTTTATTTATTTATTTATTTTTTCAAACCCCTTCTTCTGACAGACATGTCAAACAAGAAAATGTATTTCTGTCGAGTAAATTTATTAGTTATACAATTGAGGAAACAAAAATTGATTTGAAAATTGATTTTTACTTTCTCTGTCCCAAAATAAATCTCTTTTGAAAAACTATTGCATCAGAGAGAATATAAAATAAAAACATAGATGCTATAGGAAATAAACAATAATTTTGGTTCCCAATCCCATGAATCCTGTCAGCTCTTGCCATGTACATCTTGGATAAATATATATGTAGGATTATAAATTTTCCATCTCCCCACAAAGCAAGGTTGGTTAATTAATTTTCTAATTCACTTGTTCCTTTCCCAAATGCCACCCCAGGTATTACAAGGTGGATGGACGGTAACTCAAACATGTCAAAGTCTCAAAGTATAACAACCAGTTTGTCGTATTGGATACGGTCGCGGTGTAACAGACTTGGACAAAATCAGTGTAAACTGGTCGATACGAGTCGCATATCGGACTTGAAAAGGATCGCGTATTGGTTGATACGTTGTGTTTAGGGAGGATGGCCTACAATTTCATGACAAGCACCTATCAGCTTTAGCCCCACAGCAAATGATATATGTATAAAAGATTAGATCAATGGCAACTGGAAGAAAAAGAGAAAACAGAGAGGAAAAAGTAATTGAAACTATATGGTCCAGACTGGCTATCATATGGACATTGGCTTTAATAATGTTGTAATATGTACATCTTTTTGTTCTTTTTAAAGCATGTGCCTCCCTTATGGTTAGGACCCTGCATCTCTTGAGATGGGTGGAAAGGGTGCGAGGTTGCCAAGTTTCTGCTTAAACAAGATTAGGCGTCACGTTCGTGTTCGTGAAGTGATTTCAGGTAAAAAAGATCAGAAAAATGAGAATTCTGTCAACGTCGGAGAAGCCAATTCTGGTGGTGCAACGCAACGCGGGCTGGGGCTGGTAATTGGGAGGAAAATCATGGTGGTGATTGATTCGAGCCTTGAAGCCAAGGGGGCTCTACATTGGGCACTAACTCACACCATCCAGAGCCAAGACATAGTTGTTCTTCTTTATGTAGCCAAGCCTTCTAAGCAAGGTTAACCTTTTTATAATTTTTTTCTTTCCTCTAATAATTGTATATATTGATGTATATGAAGTACAAAAAGGTTATAATAATTTTGTTTACAGGTGAGGAGTCCAGCACAGAAATAGCTCCAAGAGTTTCTGAATTTCTTCAATCTATGAAAACTATGTGTAAACGGAAGATGCCTGAGGTGGGTAATTAAAATATTTGTTAAACAATTTTTTTTGGCTAATTATTTTATATATGTAAGTACTAATAAAAGTGCTAGTGGTGTGCATACACGAGGCTACACCGTCATTGCAGGATTCGAAAATGATGAGATGGACACAGTCTTACTTTTGTATTGAGAAATTATTTTCAAACCGTGACCTCAAAGTAACAATGGATATAAAAATAAAGATCATTGCATTTGTGTTATTTCAATGCACCAATCCTTTATAAAGTAAACAATAATTGTCCAACTATATATTATGAGTTTGTCATGACAGGTGAAATTTGAGGTTACAGTGGCAGAAGGGAAAGAAAAAGGTCCAGCAATAGTTGAAGAGACAAAGAAACAAGGGGTGGCGCTACTGGTTCTAGGGCAGAAGAAGCGGTCGGCTGTAACGTGGCGGCTTCTGATGACGTGGGCAGGGAATCGGAGTGGTGGTGGTGGTGGTGGTGGTGGGGTGGTGGAGTACTGTATCCAAAATGCAAGCTGCATGGCAATTGCAGTGAGGAGGAAAAGCAAGAAGCTTGGAGGGTATTTGATCACCACTAAGTGTCACAAAAATTTCTGGCTTCTAGCTTGAACACTGTTTCATTAACTTGGGTGGTTTGTTGCAATGATCATATGATCTTGGATTGTTTGATATTGCTTCATCAAATGTGATTATTGCTGTATTGGTTGTAAATAATAATAGAAAATAGTATTGACACATGAAAGGGAATTTGGGTGATGAATGAAATTCCTAGTTCTTGTCACGATCAAGGTCATCAGCTAATATGGCCAAGTGAAGCAGACATAGACCCTAAAGTTAGGACATGGCTTGGGACACTTGGGTCCACCTCAAACTTTCACATATTGATAAATTATTACATAAATTATTAACTTGATGTTGACCAAGCATATAACTTAGTCACTTTTTGAACAATTATATCCCAAAGACACGTATACAAAGAACTGTGCAGATTTTTGCAATCAAAGCATAATTTTACAAAAATTAACCATATATAAATGTCGACCCAAAAAATATATTCATAACAAGAAAGTGTTTCAGCAAGTGAAAAAACTGCGCTAAAAAAAAAAAAAAGAAAAAGAAAAAAAAAAGAAAAAGTGAAAAAATTGTGCCAAGCAGCAACGTGCCAAGGAAACAAAATGAAACAAAACTTCCTCCTTATCATATCTTTACTTGACCAAAATGAAACAAAACTTCCTCGTATATATATATGTGTGTGTAATGTGTGTGTTCTTACTCTCTTTTAGTCTTCCTCTTTCAACTTCTTCATGAGCCATACACAATAGCAAAAGAATAGCAGCAACAAAAATGTAACTACAACCGCAATCTTGGATAACCACCCTAGCTATGCCCTACAAAGATGTAATAGTTAAAGTAAAAGAATAGCAAGTTCAAAAGTTGCCAAAATTAAACCAGCTTAGGAGCATAAGCCATCAAAAGCACAACAACAAAAAAAAAAACAAAGGAAGGTATGCACAAAAGCTGCTGAGAGAAACAAAAATATATACAAGGAACACCAAACTGCAATCAGTAAATCAAAAAATAAAATGTCTGAAAAGTTTTAAAAGAATGCTGAACCAATCATTAAAATCACAGATTCAAACAATAAGCAGTCCAAACACCCACCATTATTTGTAGTTATACCATATAACAACTATTATACGGAGTACTTAATTTCATCAAAAAGGGCATAATCGTTTAAAAAAAACATGAAACATCCATCATCACAGGAAATATACCACCATTACAGAATGAAAGCAGGCGTGGCGTGAACCTCAAAACTCAACCTTAAATATTCAATCACAAGAGATAATATAATAAACCAGAAAAATAAAACAAAACATATCATACCAAAGAATGAGAGTAACTTGCTGGTGGTGAATTGCCAATCAGTAGAAAAAGAAATTTAATTCCCATAATAAATAATAAGTTGCATCCATCTATATATTTATGACTTAAAAAAGTACCGTACAAATTATATATATATATATAAATAAATAAAATAAATTAAAAAAAAAAGAAAAAGAAGAAGAAGAAATTAAATTCAAAAACGGGATTTAATTTTACACGTCAAAACTTGTCTGATGGTACATTAATCATATAAAGAAACCAATGAAACAAGAAAAACCATTCCAACAATAAAGAACAGAACCAATATTGAGTCTAGACAGATTTACTGAACAAGTGTGAAGGGTTCCAGTACCACTAGGTCCACTGCAACATGATGAGCACCCACCTTGCGAACATAAACCAAGCGAGCACACACGCATTATTAACAAAAACAGTCTGGCAAATTATTCATAATGCTCATGATGGTATGCTTTTCATGTAAAAAAAATTTGGATGTTGAAATTGGATCAATTTAGCTTTCATGATCAGTCCTCAAGATCAGTCCTAAGTTCCTAACCTTGACAAGGCACAAACAGTCCCAGCCAGGTATGAATGATGAAATGTCTTCAGATTCTTCACAACAAATTGATAGGAAACATAATTGATAGAAAACATAAATCTATAAGATATAAAAATAAATAAATAAATAAACATCATTGCCTAATATAAGCATGAGCAAGAAAAACAAAACTCATCAAAACACAAAACAATTAATTAAGCCATAGCTCCTTTTCAAAAAAAAAAAAAAAAAAAATTTAATTAACCCATAGCTTGATGATGAGATGAGATGAGATTGCAGGCAAAGGCCATCATAGTTTTGGCTGATCTGAGGATGAATCATCAAAAACCTTCTCTGAATAGAAATGCTTGGAGACAAGTTGCATGGTCCGTGGATCATTTCAATACTTTTTCAGTATTCTGAAGTGTGAAAATACTGCCTCACTTGATCAACTAAAAATACACATTTTATGTTAACAGAGACACCAACAATGAAATGGATGATAAAACAGTCAGGAAAAAATTATTTCCTGGTTAGTAAAACAGTGACCAAGTATCACTCAGTTCAATATCAAAAAATGGAACAGATCTGGTTTGACTCAGGTACAACCATTGCGACTCAGCTGAGTTGTCTGAATTGCGCAGAGTTTAAATCACTGGGAAAATCGAAAACTGCAGTGTGAACACACAATTTGTAATATTTTCACCTATTGTTTATCTTTAGTTACACAGGACTGTTGGTGAATGACCAAAGCAATTAATTGAATTTGTTTGGCAAGCATTAAGCATAAGGTACAACTGGTGGGGCATCCAAATCTTTTCCCATTCTTTTCTAGCCAGTGTAACAACTTCACCGCAAGAATTAAACTTTCTCTTATAATTTCTTCACTTCTCAATCCCTATTTGCTCATTTCTGTCAAGTGTTGACATTAATACCATTTTTGAGCAATGATTCAGCTAGCTGTTTCATTAACCTCATTTGTTTAACATTTTCATTGTACTGGTAGAAGCTTAATAAACTTAAGACACAATGATTGCTTTCAAGTAATGTTCTACACTATTTGCTCATTTCTTTTCATTGTACTGTTTCAGTAACCTCACTTAAAAGAAATTGCTCTTTAAAACGAGCAATTGTGGCTCATTAAAACTGGGCAGAAAAGGCTCTTTAAAATGAGCAGTTGCTGCTCATTGAAACTGAGCAGAAAATGCTCTTTAAAAAATGATAGGAGTGAAATATGCAAGGGTGAATGTATCATTTCACAGTACCAATGGCAAGTGGATGTATAGAACTGACAAAAAGAAAAGCTTATTGGCCAGGATGCAAGGTAGTAGTGAAAGCTGGAAGTGAAGGTCAGGAAGTTGAAAGTGAGGAATAGCTAGAGAGTGTGTGCAACACAGATCAACACCTACTTTACCAGAACTAGAGAGCGTGAGCAACACAGATGTGTCAATGTCATGCAATAACACCTAATTTACCAGAACTACCTTTTTTTTTTTTTTTTTTTTTTTTTCCAAAACTCAAATGAAAGCAAATCAATCAAGGTATACCTATGTTAACTTAAGCTGTCAGAGAGGGTGTAACATAAATATATTAACACAGAAATTGGGAAAAACTGGAGTATATTTCATGACTTTCTAATACAATGCAGCCTGATCTTTATAGGCTGAATACAATTTAAGGAATATAAAATCAAATCCCTAAGATCAGAAAATAAAATAAGTCAACCTAAACTTTAATACACCAGCTATATTAGCCTATAATTAGTACAAAATCAGACAGTTAATACTTTCTAAATTTATCTAACAATTACATAAATCACGTAATTCTCCAACACTCCCCCTCAAGCTGGGGAATAAATATCTTCCATCCCCAGCTTGCAGACAATTCTTTGAAACGCAGGACTGGCTAACCCTTTGGTTAGTACATCAGCTAGTTGTCCTCTTGTTGAGACATACGAAGTGCAAATTAGTCCATTATCGAGCTTTTCCTTTATGAAGTGGCGATCAACTTCCACATGCTTGGTCCGGTCATGTTGCACTGGATTATGTGCAATATTGATGGCTGACTTGTTATCACAATATAACTTCATCGGCCTCTTAACTGAAACTCCAAGATCCTTCAGGACTATTTTCAACCATAATAATTCACATATTCCTAAAGCCATGGCACGAAATTCAGCTTCTGCACTTGACCTTGCAACTACTGGCTGCTTTTTGCTCCTCCATATAACAAGATTCCCACCTAGGAAGGCACAATAACCCGAGGTTGATCTTCTATCTGACACTGAACTTGCATAGTCTGAGTCTGTGTAAACTTCTAAGTTCAAGCACAATCCTCTCTTGAACAATATGCCTCGACCTAGACTAGATTTTAGATATTGCAGGATTCTGTATACTGCTTGGAGATGTACTTCCTTTGGGTTGTGCATAAATTGGCTCACTACACTAACTGCATAGGCGATGTCAGGCCTGGTGTGAGACAAGTAGATTAATCTTCCAACAAGTCTTTGATACATTCCTTTGTCAATTGGCTCATCATCAACAGCTTCTCCAAGCTTATGATTCGGTTCAATGGGAGTCTTCACGGACTTACAGCCTATCTTTCCTGTTTCTTTCAGTAAATCAATAACATACTTTTGTTGTGAGACGAAAATTCCTTCTTTGGAGCGAGCAACTTCAATTCCCAGGAAGTATTTCAGCTTGCCTAGGTCTTTTATTTCAAATTCCGTGGCCAGTTTAGCTTTAAGAGTTTCCCTTTCAGCTTGATCATTGCCAGTGACAATAATATCATCTACGTATACAATGAGGACTATAACTCCCCCTGAAGAAGAGTGTTTTATGAACAAAGTATGATCACCTTGACTTTGTTTGTAACCCATTGCTAACATTGCTCTTGCAAACCTGCCAAACCAAGCCCTGGGGGATTGCTTCAGTCCGTACAGTGCCTTCCTTAGTCTGCATACCCTATTCTTCTTCGAAAAACTAAATCCTGGAGGAGCGTCCATATATATTTCTTCTTCAAGATCTCCATGCAGAAATGCATTTTTTACATCAAACTGCTGCAAAGTCCAATCAAAGTTAGCAGCCAGAGACAATAAAATTCTTATTGTGTTCATTTTTGCCACTGGGGCAAAAGTTTCTTGATAATCAACACCAAAGGTCTGGGTATATCCTTTTGCTACTAGCCTTGCCTTGTACCTTTTAAGAGATCCATCTGCATTGAATTTTACTGAAAACACCCATTTGC